TAAACATTACAGAAACAAATTGGCTGTGCTTAAACATTACAGAAACAAATTGGCTGTGCTTAAACATTACAGAAACAAATTGGCTGTGCTTAAACATTACAGAAACAAATTGGCTGTGCTTAAACATTACAGAAACAAATTGGCTGTGCTTAAACATTACAGAAACAAATTGGCTGTGCTTAAACATTACAGAAACAAATTGGCTGTGCTTAAACATTACAGAAACAAATTGGCTGTGCTTAAACATTACAGAAACAAATTGGCTGTGCTTAAACATTACAGAAACAAATTGGCTGTGCTTAAACATTACAGAAACAAATTGGCTGTGCTTAAACATTACAGAAACAAATTGGCTGTGCTTAAACATTACAGAAACAAATTGGCTGTGCTTAAACATTACAGAAACAAATTGGCTGTGCTTAAACATTACAGAAACAAATTAGCTGGTCTTTTTGTACGCTTTCAAGTGCTTTAACATTTATGCATGTTTGTTGGTTGAGGGATGAGCAACTCTAATATAAATAGAGAGTTCTTCTTCAAAAAACACATGCTCTAATGAGCTCCTCATATCTTTTCCCTATTTCGGAAACAGTACAAATCATTCGACAATTTAGGTAGGCTTCAGGGCCCCTTCAACGTTTAGAAAACATTTATTTCTCTCTTCTCCTCCTGTCTTTCCAAATCACTTAAATGGAAGAATATTTTAAATTTTATAAAAATGATAGAAATGGGTATTTAAATAGAATGGAGAAAAAATAGAGCGTATTGTTAGAAAATTGTATGATTTATTTTTAGAATTATTATTATCGTTCATTTAAAAAAAAGAAATGATAAAATAATTATATATATCGAATTAATTTAATTTTTTTTTTTTAGGAATAATTCATCTAAAACAGTGGTGAACCTTTAAATAAATATGATAAAATAATTATATTTATCGGATTAATTTAATTTTTTTTTATAGGAATAATTCATCTAAACCGTGGTGGACCCACAGCTCCACACAGCGTTGTCGAGAGATTCCCTTATTTTGTTGCTTACATCATTGCTAGCGCATTTTGCGCATTACCTTAAGAGCATAGAAAAATTATTCTATGGATTTGGGGGCAATGTTACAAATTAATTTGGACTATTCATCCTTTACAGTTTGCAGTGAATAATTGCTCGGAAGAGTAAGCTTGGGGTTAGGAATAAGAATTTCAATTAGTAGTATTTACGCTGCTTTGTTGGAATCAAGTTGAAGGCAAGTCCAGCCACCAGCAAAACAGCACTCCCCAAAAAAAATGGTAGATAAAATTTTCAAGAAAGAACTTGTGAGTTGGTACCTCATCACCCTCAAACTCAAGGAAACTGTAAGAGCCAGAATCCAACAAAGTTCAACTCCTACTGGTACTACTACAACCCCATCAATTGAATACCCAGAAAACCACCAGCAACAAAGTGGGATTCAGCTTGAAACTGGTCAGAATTTTGAAGAGGAGGCCAACAAACCACCAGACCATTCGGCGTGGGTGATCAACATCAAAGAAAAACTCGACCAAGCCCGCCGAGAAAACACAACATCTGCCTGGTCAAAGATGTGCATCTACAGAGTCCCTCAGTGCCTGCTAAAAAGTGACGACAAAGCTTATATTCCCCGGACCGTCTCCTTGGGGCCTTACCACCACGGGCGGAGAGACCTTCGCACCATGGACCGCCACAAGTGGCGCGCCCTTCACCGTGTCCTGAAGCGTACCCAGCACGACATTAGTCTATATCTGGACTCCATTAAAGAGATGGAACAGCATGCCCGTGCTTGTTACGAAGGCACGATTTCTCTCAGCAGCAATGAATTTGTGGAAATGATGGTGCTCGATGGCTGCTTCATACTGGAGCTGTTCCGAGGGGCTATTGAGGGCTTCAAGAAGCTAGGTTACTCCCGGAAGGATCCTATCTTCGCGATGCGTGCCTCGATGCATTCGCTTCAGAGGGATATGATAATGCTCGAAAACCAGATTCCCCTCTTCATACTGGATCGTCTGTTAGGGCTCGAGAACGGCAATCCTGACCAGAGAGGACTGGTAGCCAAGCTAGCAATCCAATTCTTCGATCCGCTAATGCCAACCGATGAATCATTGGCGTCATCACCATTATCACTCGGATATGCAAACTTCGATCCATTTGCAGACCAAGTGGAATTCCCTCTGAATTGAAGACCTATGCAAGAATTCAAATGGATAAAAACAAATTTCCATAAAAATCATGCCATGCATGTAGAATTTGGGAGCTAAAACACTCATTCTTCACATATGAACTCATGCATGTAACAAGCTTTTCATTACATGAACCCACTTCAAAGAAGTTCATATTTTCTTGCCTAATCTTAAATTCTTTAACTTAAGGGCATAATTCTTCAACTACATTCTAATTCATGAAATTAAGGAGAATAATCCTTACCAAAAGGGAGTGAATTTTTGCCTTAGAGAGAGCTTCTCTCTATATGCCTCTTGTAAAGCTTACAAGACAAGCTTTGCAAGAGGGAGATCCCTCCATACACGTGTATGGAGGGGAGCAAAAGCTATACAGCTGTCCAAAAATATCTGCAAAAGCAGATGAACAGCAATCGGCCGGCAAAAAATGCCATCTTGGCCAAACAAAGTGCCGACCGGCACAAAAGAGTGCTGACCGGCAACAAAGAGTGCCGGCCGGCAAACTATATTGCCGGTGGCAGCAAAAACCAGCCGGTGGCATCTAGCCAATGCCGGTGGTGGGTGGGGATGGTCTATAAGCCCCACCTTGCCCTTCCAAGGCAAGATGCAAGTGTTTGGTGCAAAACTAGACACTAAACGGTCAAGTTCGGAGATCCTGAGGCAAGGCGTGCGAGCCGAGACCTCCAGGAACTCCAAACGAACACAAACATGGATAATCACCGAGTGTTCAAACGGTGACGTCCAAGTCTTGAGGACGGTCAAAAATGGGGTGTCTACAGTGGCATCCACCAATTGGTCAATCTTGGATAGTGGGAAACTGTCTTTGGGACAAGTCTTGTTCAAGCTGGTGAAGTCCACGCAGACCCTCCACTTCCCATTTTTTTCTTCACAACAACCGTGTTTGATAGCCATGTTGGGTAGTTTACCTCTCGAATAGCTCTGGCCTCCAGAATTTTATCCACTTCCTCTTCTACTGCCTCAACATGCGTTAACGTAGGCCTCCTTGCTCACTGGATGACAGGTTTAACCGACTTGTCCACATTCAGTTTATGGCAAGTGACCTCAAGGTCAATGCCAGGCATTTCGTATGGTGTCCAGGCAAACACCTCAAGGTTTGCTCTCAAGAATGCCTCTAATTCCTTTTCCTCTTCCTCGGCCAAGCCTGAGCTGGGAAGGAAGAAGCGCTCTTCATCCCCTTGTTGGATTAAGATCTTCTTCAGGGCTTCCTCACTTTTCTCAGCTGGTTATTTGCCGACGTCCTCAAGGACTTCTATGTCTTCATCCTCAATCTCTGTTGTTTCTGCTTCTCATATTTTACAGGTGGATTTCATTGCTGCCATGGAGTAATTATTTGCTTGCACCTGATCCCCTCTAACCTCCTCAATTCCATGTTCTATTGGGAACCGCAGCAGCTAGTGTAATGTTGAGGGATCAGTCCCCATTACATGTAGCCATGGCCTTCCCAGGTTAGCATTGTAAGGGGAGGGGGTATCAATTATTGTGAACTCAGTTTTTACCTTCTTGGTGCCAGCCTGCACCTCCAAACTTGCTGCTCCCAGGGGCCACGTCGGCATCCCATTGAACCCAACCATTGGACCATTGGATTGTTCCAGATCATCTTGGTGAAGGCCAAGCTCCTTGTAACACCTGACATACATGATGTCACAAGAGCTGCCCTAGTCGACTAGAATTCTCTTTACCTAGCACTCTCCAACCTGGAGGGATATCACCAAGGCATCGTTGTGTGGATGCTGCACCATCTTTAGGTCGTCTTCAGTAAAGGATACCAATGGTCCCTGGCACTCGTCTGCCCTAGGTTTCTTCTATCGGACCTGATATACGTGTTGTAAGTGTTTTACCTTCTAAGTTTCCCCACGTATCTTGTTCTCATTCACCTTCGAGTGGATCACATTGATCACTCGAGGTCCGTCTGCCTGTAGTTGTGGTGCTGGCGGGGGTGGTGCTGCTGGAGCCTGAGGCAGTCTCACTTGTTCCTTCCTCGTCTTGGCCTCATTTACTAGGTTCCTTAAATGACCTTGTCTTAATAGGTCTTCTAGATGTGTTTTTAGGGCTCTGCACCCCTGAGTTAGATGCCCATCCTTATTATGGTAGACGCAGTGCTTCCCCAGGCTTCTTCCCATAAATTCGCCAGGAATTTTCTCTGGTGCTCTATAATAGGGCTGATTCCGAATTCTTTCTAAGACTTTGTAAATCGGAATTCGGAATACGGTTGTGACTGCCTGTGCAGCCCTCAATCCCATCTCTTGCTTGTTGTATCTAGGGCTGCAAATGAACCGAGTTGTTCATGAACAAGCTCGGTTCGGCTCGGCTCGTTAAGGGCTCAACTCGGCTCATTTAGTAAACGAGCCGAGCTCGAGCTCGCATAAGCTCGGCTCGTTAAGCTTGGCTCATTTATCTTTATTTAAATTATATAATAAATATATTATTTATATATTAAATAATATATAAATATATATATAAATAATAATATAAATATATATTTTTTTATATATTAAATAATATAAATAATATTAAAAAAAAACTATCGAGCCGAGCCGAGCCGAGCCCGAGTTTCATTAAAATTAACGAGCCAAGCCGAGCTCGAGCTCAATAAACGAGCTCGACAAGTAAACGAGCCGAGCTCAAGCTCAACAAATCTCGGCTCGGCTCGATTCGTTTGCGGCCTTAGTTATATCCAGTATTACCCCGGCCTCATTTCGGTGAGCCGTTTCTCTTCTCTTGTTTTGACGCCTTTGTCCCTAGCGTGTCTTCCTCGACTCTCGCGCACTTCTTTATCCTGGCCATAAGTTCCTCCATACTTTTTGGCAGTGTCTTTGCCAGTGATTTTCGAAGCAGACAATCATCGTTCAAGTCGTTCTTAAAAGACACGACTGCCACCTCTTGGTTGCATCCTGGTATTCAGTTGAATACCTCATAATACCTCTTGGCATAAGCCCTAAGGCTTTCATCCTCGCCTATTCTCAAAGCCATTAGGGAGTTCACCCTTAACGGCTGTAGTTTGTTTGTCAGAAACCTAGTCACGAACATCTCGGCCAGGCCTTCCCAGCTTTTCACAGTTCCTTTCGGCAACTTGTAAAACCAGTCTTATGCGATTTCCCCGAAGGATGAGAGGAACACCTTGCAGAGCAACGGCTCGTTCCCGGTGTATAGTGCCATCGAGTTTAGGTACAGGCCGACGTGAAAGTTAGGGTCAGATTTACCATCGTATATCTGGAACCTCGGCATGTGGAACCTCTTTGGGGCCTCAAATTTGTCCAATTCGGCTTGACAGAAGAGGTTAAGGATGAGAGGAACACCTTGCAGAGCAACGGCTCGTTCCCGGTGTATAGTGCCATCGAGTTTAGGTACAGGCCGACGTGAAAGTTAGGGTCAGATTTACCATCGTATATCTGGAACCTCGGCATGTGGAACCTCTTTGGGGCCTCAAATTTGTCCAATTCCACCGAGAACAGCGTTCTCGGCTTGACAGAAGAGGTTACCTCAGCATCATGCCACTTCCTCTGGAGGTAATCTCTCAGATCCTCTTTGGTCCATCTAGGAGCTCGACTATCAACGGATTTTAGCCTCTTTGGTACGTTACTCCCGGTGTCATTATGAGTCCTCTTGGACCTCTCTCCATTAGTTGTGTCGAAACAAAGTTCCTTCCCATGAACATGTCGATGTTCTTTGGGGTTAGCTTCTTTGGTACGATGCGTCCTCCGAGAATCTCCATTTACTGACTCTCCTCGCCCGACCTCCCTTGAAGGCCGATGAGAGAGTGTTCCTTGGTCCTGGTGTGTTAGGGGACTTGAGGAACTGTTGTCTGCCCTACTTTCTAGGCATCGTTCTTTGCTGCTGGAATCAGCGTGTCTTGTAACGGAAACGGTGGCTGCATGGCGTTGTTCTGCATCGTGAAATTGACGACCGATTGCAGGTCTACCAATTTATTTGTCATTCCCTTCATCTCTCCGTCCCTCCTCAAGCATCTGTCTTTCCATACCTGGAGGTCATCCTCAATGTAATACCCTCCTCGGTCTGCCTTCTTCGGTACGTCTCTTTCCTGGCTGACATCTTTCTCTCCGGGATTCTGATCCCGAGTTTCTTCATTGTAGTTATCCTCTTCTATGTTAGGATCAAAGTGTTTACCATTTTCAGTAGGGATGTCGTTTCCAATCTTCTCTTTCTGTTTGTCGTTGGCCATATATTCTCCTTTCATTTTCCACAGACGATGCCAAATTGTGTGTGCTGTTTTTTGACCACATTGCCAAATAGGTACTCAGTTGGAGAACATCGGCCGAATAGATTGCGTCCGAACGACCTGTCACAAAAAGATAAGACTCCGGCGGTGGTTCGTCCAGCCGGGGGCACTCTAACGATCAAGTCAGTAATCAATATCTCTCAAAGATAGCCAATTGTGCTTAACTCACAAGGCAGAATATAAAAAACATACTTTAGACCCACGAGGGTGCCCTTCTTTTACAGCCAGCACTTACCCGATCCCTGTAGAAGCCTAGCTTCTCTTGGACTCTGGCTTAATGCTTATCCTGGACTCTCCAATAGATAAAGATAAACTCCCTAAGAGCTTTATCCTTATCCAGACTGAGGTCCTCTCCCATTTTAGGACTCTAGTCCTTTATCCGTTCATCTCGGATTCCGGTATCTCCGCAGATAACCTCGGCCTAGCCGAGATCACCTCAGCGCCATGACTAGGGCACGTGGCACCTCGGCTAACACTTCGGTGCCAACTTGGCCACGTGTCGTTATTCAAAAAATGTCCCCACAAGTATTATCATCATTTTACTACCACTATCATCGCTGCCACCGCCACCACCACCACCACCTCACAATATAAAAATTAATCTACTCATCAATAAAGGTAAATAGAGATAGATAGTTTAGAGGGACTTGAGTATTCTAGAGCCAACAAGGGGAAGAGAGGAAGAACTAGGGTTCAAAAAGAGGAAAAGGGGAATTGAGCAAAGGTAAGAAATTCTCCCTAAATC